TTTGTGCCGTTGCCCGAATTTATATGGCAATTCAATTAGCGGGATCGCGAAACAGAGCAAAGCGAAAGTAGAACACAGGGTTGTAAATTTATTTAGCAAATCCAAAACTTAAGCTATTACAAGACCGACTGAATGACTATTACAAACGACAGACTGAATGACTATTACAAAGGACTGACTGAGTAAAAATAACAAATGATTGGACATACTTAACACAATAAGAATCATACTAATTTCTCACAGCACCTTTTTCATTATTTTTAAGATTCAGTGATTTTATTCTTTGCTCCGACAGCGTAAACTTGTCGTAGAGTATCTGTACGAATCTTCATTACGAACGGAATCAATGAAGGCTCTCTACGAATTTCGATTTTACGTTCGTAGCTATTCGGATTCTGTGATAGCACTTTCGTAGATTTTACGAAAATCGAAGCTACGATGGATCCTGTGATAGCCCTGACTACATATTTTGTGTTTACAATTTGTAAACCAATCTCAAGAGTGGTTGTTAAATTTTTTAAATCAAACAATCACAATTTTGAAACGAATAAAATGAGAATGCACACTCAATTGATTCAATCATTACACAGCACTGCTGCATACCGATTTCGCCATAAGCACGGTATTGATAACAAGGGCTGGCAAAAATATGCCAGAAAATCTTGAAATTGTGCGCTATAAAAAGCTCGATAAATCACCAAATACGCTAAATCAATGAGGTTTCAGTGCCTGATTAGGATCCCTAGGCTCTTTCCGTGGTGCGGACTCCAGGGAGTGAGTACTAAGGCCAACGGCGGCCCCGGGTACGGAACAAAAAAAAACGTTTTAATTTTTTACATATGTTCTTACTAGGGATGTTAATCCTGGTATCCCGGGATCACATAATACCGATCGACAGGCAATTTTACACACACAAAAATTAATATATTCGCGAAACCATGGGCCAAATATAGTAAAATCGCATATTCAGTTTTTCTCTCTGACGTCAGGATTTTTTAAAAAGGACTTTGGAATTTAAAAAAATATGAGTAGGTCAAAAACAGATGCTTTTTGGAGCAGATGTATTTTATGGAAACTCTGCGAATTTATTTCACTTTTCTCTGTGAACTTGATGTCTTACAATAAAACAAAGAAACATGAACACAAACAAAGCAAAAACTACAAAAAAATTATGGCTTTATTATACAAAAAATCCGAAATTCCTCTGTAACGGCTGGGACAACGTTTTTCACGGGTAGGACACGTACAAATTTTTATATGAAAAGGAGCTTTTAGTGTGGTCCATATATAAAGATTAGTTAGTAAAAAATATAAGAAGCCAAGTAGGGGTTAAATTCACTCACGTTTTATCTTAGGATGGTGCCTTTTATATATATACCTAAAAATTCTGAACAAAAAGTTTAAAATTTTTGGGTGTAATTGCTTAAGTTTTTTGAATTTTTTTAATCTTTGTACGAAGTTTGAAATTTAGATTTATGTGGTTCTGGTTAGGTAATGTACTAGACTTTTATAAAAAAACTATAAACTTTAGATTAACAAAATAAAAAACCAAAACTGGTCAAAATGTAACTTAACTTAATCAGCTGACCACAAGGGTATATAGATAATGGACGAGTCCGCTCGACGATTCGACGAAGGTTACCTTTAAAGTATGCAAAATAACGTTACCCTTTAAGGGCTAATTAAATATAACCACTTTTAGCTTTTTTGTCACGGTTGGGACAAGACCAATACTGCTTAATAATAACTCATAATATAGATAAAGCAGTCAAACAGTTTAATATACAACACAATTTTATTAAAAGCAGATGAGTTCTGCTATATATTTTTCTTACCAAACACTTGAATTATGAATCGCATATTATTTGACAGTACTTTCAACACAACCTACTTAAAACTCACTCAAAAAATTTACTTAGAACTTGATTTCAACACGTAAAAAAGGTAATAAAAATGCATTTAAAGCTTTAATTTGTAATTTTTTGGTTGATTCAAGATTTTTACAAATGACTTATCCACACGTTTGTTAGTTTTATAAAGAAAATAATTTTTACACTGAGGTTCACTTTCCCATGGAACCTCCCATATTTAAAAAAATTCAGTTCAATGTATTTAAAAACCAGTATGGGTATCAAATTAAAGAGAAAGTTCTGTAGAATTAAAACAGATCAAATATATTGGTGCATAAGGACGGGTAGCTATTGAAAATGCCCCCGTCCTTTCAACTTTATTAGCTTAAAAAATAAAATTGATTAAAGGGGCATTTTCAATACCTACATATTTGTGATTGTAACCATAACTTTTTTAATTTTGCAGAAAATTCTCTTTCATTGGGTACCCATATTTTTATTCTACATTGCACTGAATTTTTCTTCCGCCGGGTATCTTTTCTTCGACATCTGGGCAAACACGAATTGGTACAAATCAGTCCCACGTAAAACACAAACTGGGACAATATATCCCAAAATTATGAAATTTATATGAAACTCACCTTTACTGACATTTTAAAGCCGTATTTAATAAAGAGCAAGTGGAATTTGAGAATACCTACGTACAAACAAAATGGCTATTGAAAAACATTCTTTTTGACACCTTTTGTCCGGCAAGATCGCCGAAATTTTTAAGCATGTGCTCGCAAACTTGACCAGTGGTACCAGATATAACAGAGAAAATATGTTTTGCGGGCGGATTTTTATCATGAATAAAACTCAGAACATGTATTCGGACAAATTAGATAGAAGTTTTAATGAATAATAAAACGGATAAATGTTTTTGAATGTAGCTGGTACATGGTCTCCCAGTAGTCGCGAAAGAGTTAAGAAAGAGTTAAGTTTCTTTATCAGATATGAACACGCTAAAGTATTTTAAATGCATATATATTTAATAACTGTCTTTTGTTTTGTTACTAATGAAATAACTTTCACTTTAAATAAAAACATAGGTTTCAAACCCATTTATTTATTATTTTTTGTTTAGTAGGAGGGCTTCCCAAACAGTATTGATGCAATTTTTTCATATTAAGTTGATGAAAAATAATGAATATCTAGATCCCGAGACTAATCTTGGAATTGTAATAACGAGATCAAAAAAATTCCGGAAAATATCGAAAAAAATTTAAATCCCTAATACATACATATGTATGTTAATTTATGTGAATTTACTCCCATAAATTCAGAATATAAAGATTAATGCTAGAAAATACAAATAAACTAACTAATTTATTCTTATTGGTTTCCATCTATATCCACTCATTGTAATAATGAAATCGTTGATAACAACATCGGGGTTGATTTGCCTCAAAACTTAATTTTCGATTATCAGTAAAGCCAAAAAATTCAGCTTGTTTTCCGTCATGGACGTCCGAAATCGGTTTTTTATCAGCTTCAGTTTAGAAATAACCTTTCTGTTGAACTGTTGGTGATTATGAGAGAAAGGTACATTCTTAGTGCAAATTCTACATTTAAGAAGCAATCTTTGACGTTACAATCAAACAAAAGTTTGTGCATCAATATTTCTTTGCTAACAACTTCTTGATTTTTTTCATAGTCCGGTTGAAACTGCATGCAAACATTTTTAATTTACCTCGTTCCATAACATTTATTTAATAATTTGTTAATATAGTTTTCTTTTACTTATTAGTTACAGTTCTTTTAAAAAGAAAAACGTATATATTTTTTTATTTGATTTCATTTTTTAAAAACTTATTGCTAAAAGGCGAACGGCATAACGCTAAGTCCTCCTCGTTAGCAGATCTTTCAAATGGTCTTTCAAAAGACAGTAACGAGCTTTCAAGATAGTTGACAATTGTCTTACGAAAGACTTTTGTCTTTCGAAAGACTGTGGTGAGTTGAAAGACAGTCGTCAGAACTGCCCTGTTATACTGATTTGACAATATCTTATTTGAAAATTGTGCATACTATAGCCGAATGGCAGAACATAGTGCGAGAGAGCTGCCTTATTAATTCACTTGCTTATTGGGCCATGTACCGCTACAAAACTTTAGGTGCGCTTAAATTCTCTAACACTTGCACGACAGCCACCATTTTTTAATATTTTCATTATTTATACTAAAATAAATAAATTATTTATTTTTACAATTAAAAAAAGATTAAACTACGTTTCTTATTGAAAAGTTGAATGCTGACAAATTCGATATTTTGACGAGCGTGGCGAACACCAAGTCTACGAGTAAGTTATATGTAGGCAGGCATTTATACTCATAGAAAGTACAAAAGTTAACCGAAGTAACCCTTAAAATTTGTAATCACAATGGCTTAGGCACGGTGCACATTATAGCGATACGATATGCTATGCGATATGCGATACGATACGCGATACGATACCCGATGCCATATGAAATGCGCGCAGTGCACATTAGAGCGATACGATACGCGATGCGACACGCGTTACCATTTGGTGATAGCTACACACACTTTTGTGCCCTTATAAGCTTGTTAATGAGTTAAATGAGTTGCTTCTCAACCGAGTTCTTTCGAATGATGGGTCTATGTTTATATCTATAAACGTTTACAAAATTTAAGAGAAAAGTATATTTAATATCGAGTAAAACTGATGTTTATTTTTACAAAGTCGGCTAAAAATTAAATGCGATATTCAAATTTTCATGACAAATTATTTCAGAATATTGCGTTGACTACAAGGAGAAATCTTACTTTTCTTTTTCTTATGAAAGGTTGAATAACTTTCCCCCGATTTTTGAAAGTAAAAATCACTATATATTAAATGTTAATTTTGCATCAATTCAGGAGTAGTATAGTTGCGTAATAAAATAGTGCGTGAAAACTTTGCCAAATTTGAAAAAAGACGAAAAAAATGAACACAGAAAATACACACAGATCTCTTAAGTTTTCTAAAAGTTTATATACATATATCATTCGAAAGGTCTAAAATCGGTATATAGTCAACTGAGTTACAGGCTTATAAGTGCGGAAAACCGTTTTTTTTTTAACAGTAAATCAAGATTGTGTGGGTATGTGACAAAAATTGCGTATCTCGATTCTTACTTCCCTCGGCAAAACCTACCTGAAAAATAACATGACTTACCAGTAATGCGATTCTGAATCTAATTTTAACCACATTTCACGTTGTTATCTCTAGTTAACAACTTTTTTTGGGGTTAAGTGATTGTGTATCACCTTTAACCATATTTGTTATTGTTTAGTGTTAACAAACGCAGTCAGCTGTTTGGTGACAATATTTTTTGTGGTTAAGCTAACAGGATCTAGTTTTTCGTTGTTAAGCTGTTGTTTGCAAATTTTGCTGTGAAATTAAATTGAAGAAATTTATAAAATTGTGTTAAAAAATGGCGTTTGCATACATTGCATCATATTTATATGATAATGATAATGATAAGAATTGACCGGCGTAGGCTTCGCGAAATCGACAACCCATTCGAACTAACGCCAAGGGAGTTCCGGAGGCTATATAGACTTAGTCCCGGCATGGCTGAAAATGTGGTGTCGCAACTTGATAACCAGTTACGAGGATCACGAATAACAGTGCTATCGACCGAAAAGTAGGTAAACCAATATTCCTCAACTTTATTGAATATTTTAACTGCGTTCCAGCGGTAGTACGAACTGCAGGGTTTACTGAAATATCTGTTTTTACCTTTTATAAGCCTTATGGGACGTGGAACAGCTTTTCCTGTAAAACGTTTAATTCGTACTACCGCTAGAAAGCATCTTATATAAGCATGCGTTTATGTACTCGTTAAAGGTTCTAGCGGCTCTAAGGTTTTATGTCACTGGATGCCATCAACGCCCAGTAGGAGAACAGTGGGGCATTTCCATGAGCCAAACATCGATAAGCTGTTGCATACACCGTGTGACTGACGCGATCAACAATTCAATGTTTACCACTAAAGTGAAGTTCCCTATGACGCAACTGGAGTGCCAAGCCGCAAAGGAAATTTTTGCGTCTGCACCTCCACCATTTGTAGCAGGAACTATCGGTGCAATCGACTGCACTCATGTCTCTATTTTGGCTCCCAAAAATAACGAATCAAATTAAGTCAATCACCATGGGTACCATTCGATCAACGTGCAAATGGTAAGAACAAATCTGGTACATTTATATTGTTATTTTATGATTGTTAAAACTTATAGATATGTGACCCAAATCTTAAAATTTTAAACGTAAATGCAAAATTTCCGGGAGCACGGCATGATTCATTTATTTGGAGCTTTTCTGCAGCGCGTCGGGTCATGCAGCGGTCGTTTGAAAATGGAAATCACAACACATTTTTGATTGGTAAGCTATTTTAATTCCATATGAATTAGAATATTAAAAGAAAATAATTACAGGCGATTCTGGATATCCGTTGGAGCCATGGCTGATGACACCTCTATCTAACGAGCCAGAAGGAACGCCAAAGTTTCGGTACAACGAGGCACTATGTAAAGCGCGTAACCCGATCGAGAGACTCTTTGGCGTCCTTAAAGGTACATAGCGGTGCTTATCACAGCAAAGAGTTCTTTTGTATGACCCCGGTTTTGCTGGCCGAGTAGTCAACGCGTGCGCAACATTACATAATCTTCGTTTGTGCGATCAAACAACCGATTTCGACGATAGGGTTGTTTATGATGCCGAAACACTAAGCACTGATAACAATTCTGAAGCACCTTCTTCAATAGGAAAACGTGTCCAACAACGAATTATAGCAAATTTTTTTTAAATATTCACTTTACTAAATATATATGCCATCAACGATCGTCTCGATGGTAGGCCAGCCATCAGCCGAGGGACGCAAGTAAGTGCATTTACAGCAAATTATATGAACTTCATTTAAGTATAAAAAACAATGTTTTATTTTACTTTATTTTGCATTTAAAATGAACGACTGCAATAATTTTCTAGACTTGTTCAGTGCACGTCAACTAACTCCTTTATTTGTCAACAGCTTTCTTCAGCATCTTGCTCTTCACAAAACAATGATGTCCATAAGCATGGGCAACAATTTACGCATTATACATATATGTAATGCATTTTTAACAAATCAATGTGTAGTACTTTCCAGAATCAATGAATATACTTAGCGAGGCGTTAAATGGCAACGATAAAACTGCAGCTGTGGGGCAACCGCCGTTCTTTATGGCTGTTTTGGATAGTTTAACTGTGCACAGTAAAATGTCGCTGATCCACAGGTAATGCAGGTCAAATTTTTTGTTTGGAACCAAGCAGCTAAATTCATTTTATTTGTTTTTACAGCCTCAATCAAAAAGTTCCATACCTGCGCCGGCTTTAGTAGAAAGCTATGTACGGTTCCTCGTTCACACCAAAATCGAACCGGTGGGCATTAAGAGGATTCTTGCGTAAGCTATTCGGAAGAAGCAAACTAGAGCTGTGCGATTAATTGATCTATCTTAATTTATATCGTATTAATCATTATCTATCTAATCAAAATATTGATTACTGGGAGTAATTGATTAACCGAACAACTGATAAACCAACTTGCTCGAGTAATCGAATAATCGCACAGCCCTAAAACAAACCATCTTTTTACAATTGTTTCATTCAGCAATTGCTGCTCGCTGTTTTCAAGCATCAATACTACATATACTGCGTGAAATGTTCCTATATCGTTTACATCACAACCAGCCCAGCATCGCGGTCAGCTACTTTACACTGTGCGACCGTTTCGCAATTGAATTTGTGGTGAAAGCCCGCTAATCACTGGACTTAGTAATGCAACCACAAATATCTCGTTATTTCAGCGAACAACTACCTGTTTCTGTGGCATCGAGCGAAAGTGATAATCTGAATCGTGTGTTGATACTAACGTTGGGATTTTCTTTGCACATGACTAGACTCGGTGAGTTTTTACTTTTTAAAGTACCTTTAAAAAATTTTTAAGTCTTGCTCTTTCTTCCCACATGCTCTACTTAGTATTATAATGCAAAATAAGCCATATTCGTGAGCATTGCCCTTGCTAGCTTGCTTTCCACCTGCTTTAAATGCATTTTTCGTGCAAAATAGTCATCATTTGGAGAAAAAGCAGTTGCTTAAAAGGCAGTTGAAGAAGAATATCGTAACTGGACGATGTCAAATGACTACGACCATCATTTTATGCGGCCTAGCACAAGTACACTTTTCCTTTGTTTACTTTCCAAAATGATTTGGGAAACGGAGAATGTCAGTGCAGTGGCATATATGTATGTAAGTACGTACTTTTTGCATTCAATTAAAAAATTTAAACAAACGCGCATTTTCAGCACCGCCTGTTTCTTCAATGAATTCCCCAATGCGCCAGCACATGCCCTGTATGTTACATGCGTTTAGCTACTCAGTTTGCCAATCGCGCCCTCAATCGTAGCAAGTATTGTGGGGAATGGTATTGTGAAGGGTTATTTACAAAAAGAGATACACTACTACATCAATTCTGTTGGTATAATACTCGCTGCTCTGCCTGAGCCACATCGGAGTGTAAATGAACACCATGGGTAAAATTGCGTGTCCTGTTTAGTATCATTTTCAAAGAAATCTGTTTACATATTTCATCATTTCAGCGAGCCGGTGATACGTACCGCATTCCAGTGTTTTCAGATGGTATTTACGGATTTTTTAATTGTTAAGCCTTGCGTTGCCCACAGCTTTGCATAGTCACTGCGGCAAAGTTTAACCCGCCCACATGGCAGGCACTCATTTGGCAAGTTATATCTGCGTTGCTGTATAATCTGCGTGCGCTTTCCAGTATGGAAAGCAGTGCCAGCGGCAAGATATTGATACACCAGTCGCGCAATACAAGCTTAAGCGAGAGAGCACCTTTGAATTAAAATGCATGCCCTTCGCGTTGATGGGCCTGCTTACTAACAACAGCATCGAACACGACAGGAATGGTGAGATGATGGTTCGTTAGGGTTCGTCTTAAATCATGCATACCGAAGCGGAGTATTCAACACAGCGCAAAAGCAATGCACGAAGAGGCAGAGGCTGCCGCTGTTGGGCGTGTGCAGGGTAATGTATAGAAGAAATGTTGGAGATTTGGAATGTATATTTGTTAATGCTTGCTTTTTTTTTTTTTAAATAGATTTTCAATCTGACAATTTCTCAAACTTGAACCGGATACTACTAAATTTGGGTAATTGAAAAACAATAGGGCTATTCAGGATCATGTGCATATGCTCTTACATTTGCATATCCGTTGCATTTGTAAACTCGCAACAATAAAATATACACGATTGCCATGGAAGCAAGCATAAAAGTTGCAAATGCAATTCCAACTGCAAATCCAAAACCATTTCCACAATATCCTGAACAGCCACAATATTTTTTCTAAAGGTTTGGAAATATATTCATTGGTTTTGATTCTTGTATATTTTTAGAAACCCGGAGAAACTGGCTAATGGGCGCTGGGTAAGGGTCACACTGGTACACGGCTGGCAAATGCGCATTACGTCAATTAAAGAACCGGTTTGATAACCAAAAAGGATTATGCCGTAACCTTACCGGCACCCTGACACTTATTTAATAAGTACCAAATATGTACATATCGCACACTATCTTCAAAAGTGACACAACTCAAAATTTGGCATTATGTATATAATGCAATATTTAACTTTGCCAGTTTATTTACAACAAGTAAAAAAGTGCTAATTTGGAACTAGTAATCAAATGGTTCTTTTGAATCACAACCAAATTATATTCAACTATAAGTACATATCGTCACCTGAAATGCAAAAAAGACGTCACAACATCGTAACTGAAATGGAAAGAGTCGTGACTAAAAATTTTTATTATTTTTATTATACGATGTAAGAGTTGTAAGTCGATAAAATCCTTCATATCGAACAAAAACTGAATTTTAGATTTTTTATTAGTTGACTTTTTGAATTTCAGCGACGATCTTGTTACGTCTTTTTGCATTTCAGGTGACGATATTTAGGTTTCACTAGAAAATTTCAGTAGCCGGTAAGAAAACTAATGAAATAAAAGCAAACTATTTAGCCTCAGAAATTAATTCTTTATTGACATAATAAATAATATATGTCAATGAACTACGCATTAAATGCTGCTGTCTAAATTAAAAATATAAAATTAAATAAGTCAGGTACACACAAAATTTAATTTCATGTTGTCATTTCATTTATTGCGAAAACAACAATAACTCAGTACAGTAACATCAGAAAAATTAAATAAGGTAATAATGGTTACTAAAGCTAAGCTTTCAATAAATAAAAATTAAATAATTCATTTATTAAATCGGTGATTTTTTGTAAATATTCGAAATGTTTTTCATGCCATAAAGGTTTTTTAATTTTTTTAAAGGCTTACATTTTAACAAACACCATACAAATTCAAGTTTTAAACTGTATACATAGTTAAGAAGTATTCTCCAAAGTTTAATGAAAATTACAAACTTTTTAATGAGAATTTCTAAATTTAGAGAAATTCTTATTTAAAAGTTTGCAATTTTGATGAAACTTCGCCACATACTTCTAAATTATGTACACAGTGTGAAGCTTGGATTTGTATAGGTTTATCAAAATATAAGCCAGGTTTTTAAAAGAAAAATAACACAGATTTATAGCACGAAAAACATTGCGAATACTTAAAAAAAATACCGTATACTCAAGGAACGAATACTTATCACTAAAAAACAAATTCGGAAAACCACATTCTTAAAATACAATTCATTTAAAAAACAAACCAGTAAAAAGACACTCCAACTATAAATAAATTAATAATAACCTTAATCTATTACATAGGCCTGCGCAATTTAATTTTTTTCCCCCGCTCCAATAATTATGTTATTTTTTTAATACCTGTATGTTAAATTAAAATACATCTTTGGTTCTTTCTAGCACGTCGGGATTTTTTTTATTGGTGACACGTATATTTTAGAATTTTTAGCAATTTGCATGAAAAGCCAAAAACTCGTTAATTTAAAATTGAATGTTTACTTAAAAACCGACAGTTTTAATTAAAAATACCCATAAATAGACTAAGTAAATCAGAAAACTTATATAATTTCGAAGTTAACTCTAAGAAAATTTATACAAGCGTTAACTTCCATTGTTGCAGTGGCGGTAGCCATTTGTTCCGTGGCAGCACCCATCCTGCTAATTGCCCCAGCATTAGAACGGTTGGCCTCCGCGTTCGTAGCAGCACTTTCAGCAAGCATCTAAGAAAATATGAGTTTTATTAATAATGCAAAAAAATACAATATTAAAATAAATACCCTTTCCGATTCGGCCTGTGCTTCGGCAATTTTCAAAAATTTTGCCTTTGTTGGCGATTCCTCCGTCCGTTTTCGCTTGGCGGTCCTGCGCGGTGTCTGCCTCGGAGTTTCGCACCGAAGCTCCGATTCGCCTTCTGACACCGTTAATGGAGGTAAGAGGATGGTGTCGAAATCTTCGTCCACGACTAGGCGGAAATTTTCATCCGCCGCCCCCAAGGCCACTTGCAGGTTCTAAAAATAGCATAATGAAAATTACAATATGATTAGCATTTAGTACTATACAGGGTGTCCCAGAAGCTTGTGCCAAACTTTAGGGCAAGGTAGGTGGGGGGGTGAGCTCACTGATAAACAAAAAATTTTCAGCTAAAAGTGTCACCGTTTTTGAAATATTTACATTATTTCAAATTTAAAAAAAATCGTGCCTTTTCATGTGTTTTCTTTAACTGCAACTACAAACCGGGCAAAGCTTCACCGTAAATTAGGTGAATATCCGCATATTCATGCGACGTATACTGCGTGTTCTCTGTCATAGTATTAATAACACAATTTTTCCAAGGCCTTCGATTCAGTTAATCACACATTGTTGTGCAATAAGTTATCTAACTATTTTGGTTTTAGTGAAAGCGCAGTAAGGCTGCTTAAAGATTACTTAAGTAATAGGTTCCAAAAAGTTAGGTCTGGTAATAAGCTCTCTGAGCTCGCCCCCATCTCTTCAGGCGTGCCACAAGGCTCTATTCTTGGCCCTTTACTATTTAGTATGTTTATCAACGATGTATTTACGAGATGCTCAAATGCCAATGTACATGCGTATGCAGATGACGTACAACTGTATCTCTCCAACAGAATAGGGTTGGTCGAAGACCTTAGTTATAGGCTTAATGAGGATTTGCACTCCATCTTTGAGTGGTCGAAGGAAAACCTACTTCATCTTAACGCGCAGAAGTCATATGTACTACCCATATTTAAGGAAAAAGTTGAGCATTCCGTGATTCCGCTTTTGCATATTGGTACTAGCCCACTTAAAGTAGTTGACAAAGTTACAAATCTTGGGTTTGTCATTAACTCTAAGCTAACTTGTGAGGATCATGTTAACAAAACTGTGAGCAAAATATATTATACTCTTCGATATCTTAGAATTACTTCGCAATATGTTCCTTTAGCCACTAAGAAAAAGTTGGTTCAGAGTTTAATAGTTCCACTTATTATGTATTCTGAGATAGTTTATAGCAAGCTAGATTCTCACTCTAAGCACAAGTTGGACGTAGCTTTTAATTATGCCACGAGATACGTATACGGTCTGAAGAAGTTTGACCATCTTTCCTTGTTGAGAAACTCGATACTTGGCTGCGACATACAAAATTTCTTAAATGCCAGGAACTGCATCTTTATTTTTAAACTAATTACTCTTGCGAAACCGGAATACCTATATGAAAAACTCATATTTACTAAATGCTCTCGCTCTTTAACTCTAATTGTGCCCAAGTTCAATTACTTATGCTCATCCCGACTGTTTTTCGTTAACGCTGTTAGACTTTGGAACTCCCTTCCTCAGTCGCTAAGGAGGTTATTGTCTAGAGGCAGCTTCAAGAAACTTATACTTCAGTATTTCTCTAATTAAAATTTCTTGAAAACATGGTTATCGACTCTCGCAATCTAGATTATGTTTATTAATGTTTATCTTTCTTTTTTTTTCTTATAATTTAATGTTTTATAATTACTTAATGTTTTAATGTTTTTTAATGTTTTTTAATGTTTTTTTTTTTTAATGTTTTTTAATGTTTTAATGTTTTATAATTACTTAATGCTTTAAATTATTAAATATTTTATCTGTGTATTTTTTATTGTTAAGGTATTTAATTGCTTATATTTACATCGTTGTGCAAGAAAAGATTATATCTTAATGTACTAATTATCATTAAATTAAATAAATAAATACAAATACAAATACAAATACAAATGTTCGAAGGGTCCAATTTCACAAAATCCACTTTCACTAATTCCGGTAAGCAACATAAAATAATGTCAAGAGCAAGTAATTATGTACCTTTGTACTAT